ACGGGAAGTCTCATCAGAGACAACGTATTCTGCAGCCTGCCAAGCGGTTTCGCCCCTCAAAACCACAGCTGCTGAGACGCGAATCCCAATCAATGTCAGAGCGACATTCACCTCCACCAAACGTCGCAACCTCACGACTCCCTGCGCCTGCCACGAAGAGTGATGGCATGACATCTTCATGTCTTCAGCAAAGTACCACACCACACGCTTGGAATGATTTCAACACGTTCTGAGCACACTCCCATCCACCAAAATCGCATTTTTGCTGAGAATTGTCACGAAAACACCGCTTCCAAGCAACAGCCTCAAACGCACATCCCAATGTCACAGCCACATCCAGCACCTCAAAAAAACCACCCTCTAGACGCCAATCCCAATCTGACAGCAAAGAAAACTGAGAATCTCACAAAACCTTGCACCTGCGCAGTAAAATAGTCCTCCACACAGTCTACCCCCAGACCCCCCAGAGTTGAACGAGAACCCTTCGCTACGCGTTCGGCAAGATGCAAATGGTGGGACGGAAATGCATGGGCGACCATTAACAACCATGTTTCGACGCAAAAAGAATTGTTGTGGGCAAAACTGGGGAGCTAATTTTGAACTACCACGCTTCAAGTGCCAAATGCCGCTGTGCTCACCACTGTTGCCTCATCAATACCCTTGAAGCGAACGTCTGCTGGATCAAGCTGTCCCTGCGCAGTGACTAAATGCCGCAAACAATGCAAGCCAAACATTTAGCATTGCCAAATCTGCTACACAAGAATGCATTGATGTCCTGCCAGCCTTAATCTCTTGCGTGTGGTCTGCCAAGTGCTTTGTCAACACTGCCAACTTTCTCTGATCGGCATTCGAGCTCCTGTCATTGCTAGAATCTTCACGCTTGAAGAAGTTACTTGCAGAGCGCTTACATAGGGAGGAATGGGGATCAAACATAGATGAGAAGAGGTGTGAAAACAAAGAAACAAGGAACATGTGTGATATTTGCGTCTCGTACGCTCCTGTAGAAGTCTAGCCAATAACAACAAAAACCTGTTGATTGACATTGAAGGGATTGAAATCAAACCTCTCCTGGCCAAACCCAACCACCTCAACAAAGGTGCCGCAGTGGTCGCGTTTACCAGAAGCGTTAACGCAGCAATGCCACCCACGTGGAACATAATGCGAGCCCCCATCTCCCTCAGGGAGGTACAGCAATGCAATCACTCAAGTATTGCAAGTTTTGATTGTGCAACGCCAATCAAGCCTTACAATCTCTATTGTATACAAAGCAGGCGTATTGAGCAAGAGCACAGGCCGCCCGAGCTACCCAATCGAACCATGCAAACATTATATCTTTCAAAGGGGCAAAGCATCGAAGTTGAACTGAAAGCCCTTGGAATACAGCAATATCATGGGAACATTGCGTTTTTACCAAAGAAGTTCTTGGGATTTCTCGGAGCACCTTGACACTGCAGGCTCTTCATCAATGATGATTGCCAAAGTGAGAGAAACAGCCCCTGCGAAACTCGACCAGCTTGCCAGCCCAAATTGCAAAGATAGCATTCAAAGAGCCTTTTTGAATGTTTAAGATCCAAAGGCTCTTTTGCACAGAATGATCTCAGGTCAAGAAACAAAGAGCGAATGACTCATGACTCTTACCGTATATCCTCGCAGGCCGCTCCATATCATGGCAATGCCCTCTCGCCAATCAATGGGATTCCCAACCTCAGAAAGGCTAACTCCCATGAGAGCAGAACCAAAACGTTTAAGCGCACCTTGTGTCCGGTATGTACTCTAAATGGAAACAGCTAGCCAAAACTGTATACACCCAAAACTGTGGCTAGAACACTGTGTAGAAACGAACACCTGGGCTGAGGAGCGACAAGGAAAGTAACATGGGCGACAAGTTAGCAGCTTTGGAGAGGCGGCTTTCTCGATTCGCCAAGGCACCCAGTGCAGTGGAATCCACAAGACACCCAACCTAAAAGAGGTGCTGACAGGAATCACAAGCTTAACAGAGTTTCTTAATCAAGACGCGTTGATGTATTTGTAAATATTCGACACAAACTTGTTGGGTTTTGTCTTTTTTCTGACCTCAACTTGCTTCCACACATGGCAGTATCTATTTATTGTGATGATTATGTAAATAACGTACAAATGTACCCTCCTGACCAAGCAACATGATGGTCCGGATCAACAATAGGGCCACATACAGCACCAAAAGCCATCCTTAAAGCACAAAAGTCAATTGGCCTGATTTTGCAACAAACAACAGGTTCCTTCGATCAAGCTTCCAAAGTCCACAGGGCGAATGATACCCACCGAGTCCAGTAAGGTATCTGCAAATAGCAATCCAGCTAAAAAGAAAATCACCTCACTATGGCGATGACACGACAGGCTCAGCTTTTCCGGAAACGGGAACGACAGTCGCTTCGCAATACGGACTTTGGACAAAAATGGACATGTGCACCTTTATTGCCCAGCTGCAGCATGACTTTACATGCAGTGCCGCACATGTGATGGTCGACACAGCAAATAAAGAGTAGTCAACAAACCAGGCCATTTTCAATCTGCTTCCCTGACCGAACAATTGAATTGTTAAAACACACCTGTACGCTTTGTTCCGCCATGTCAAGGTTCTTGCATCAAACAACCACAAACACAAAAACAGGTACTGGCTACAATAAGAATAGAAACCAAAGCCACGGTGTTTCCGACGAACTCCACTGTCTCCCAAACAATCTCCATTGCCTGAAATCCAAGCATCCCGTCATCTAAGCTATTTATATAGCAGTTGTAAGAGTATGCTTTTCGTAATCTTTCTGCTCCGATTTTGTTTGTCCCATATCTTGCTTGGTTTTCAAACAACTGTCAAGGCATGAATATAGCTTGCTTCTTTTTAGTGTGACGAGCAGGATAGTCTGCACATAGGAGTCCTGCTTGTTGGTTGGCATTGAAGTTTGTCACAGTTGTTGAAATGAGAAATACATGTTATATATATATGCGTCATATATTGTACAAGTAGTGTTGTACGGGTATAAGTGTTGACAATGAAAACCACTTGTCACACTCACGAACAGTGGAAAGTGGAAACTTGTGGGCGAGGATTATAGTCAGTGGGCCTCGGCCGAGACAAATCGAGGCCAAGCAAAGTATGCCACCATGAAACCCGCAGACACAGTTGCCTCGGATACATGTGCACCACACCAATGGACAGGGTCATGACGATTTTAGACACATCTTTTCGTTGTCATCTTTCCAAAAGGATTTTCAATGCTCTGAGTGAGCGAACCAACACACCGCTGGTGGCCAACTCGCTCTCCCCCAAGAAGAAGGCTAAGTAAGCACAGCACAGCCTTAGCCAGGTCCGCTGCCCACACGATGAGCCCACCCCACTCCCTGAATTTGCAAACTGAATCCGGAGACCGCAATTGATTGTCGCCTCCTTGCAGCTCAGAAACGTGGTAATGACCTGAATCAAGCTGTCCTCAGCGTTGACTTTCAATAAATTGATGAATTTTGCCCGCTTTGGACACAATTGACCATGGGATCTCATCGGACCATATCATCATCGGACCATATCAGTTTCCATTGAGGTGAGATTTGAAGGGTTGGGGCGATGTTTGGGCATGCTGATACCAAGTGGTGACTCTAATCATTACTGACACGGCAAACAAGGTCCACAAAATGGTTGGCTCTTGGTCATTGATTGCGCTGTGGGATTGCTGGTGAATTTGCGCAGGCTTGTGCACGGTCTTGCCTTGCGAGAGAAGTGGTTTGACGGCGGCATTCGGATCAAGAATGCTAAGTGCAACAATAGAACAAAAGGTTGACGGCCTAATCTTGAAGTTAAAGACCAAACACTGGGATAGACACTACGCTCTTAGACTTTTCCATGAAGGTAGCTGCAAGGTATCTCCTAATCGATCAAAGTCCTGAGAGAGAATTCCGAGAGAATTTCTAGGGAAAACAGGATCGAAGCGACCAGTGTGTGGCTTTAGAAGAATGGTTCACATGTTGCACAAACAAGCAATGAGACTGTCGAGCATTCAGTGCGCCAACAAACAAAGCTACACGACACGACTTTGTCCCTTTCAGTCTGAGTGGCACTATGAAAACGTTCCTCAGCACATTTGCCAATCATCGCCACTGCAAGCAAACCAATCAAAGCTCCAAAACCTATGGAAGTCAAAGACATATGACCTCGAGTCGAAGCTGTCAAAAGATGCGGGATGTCTGCAGGGTGATCCATGCCAATAAGGAATGAGTCGGCAACTGTAGCAAACCAACAAGTATATAGCTAATCTTGAACTTTTGGTGGCCTTGGAGCTTGAGCTGCTTATGAACATGGAACATCATCAGGCAATTTCCTTCACTAGCTTGAGCTTTAGAAGGCCTCAGCTGATGATCCAAGCGGCCGAAAAAAGTGATCACTGACATCGCATCGAGTGAAGCCCCAAGTACTGCCTCATACACTGGCAACCAAAGGAGGTAGCCAGCACTGGAAAAAGACACTGCCCTTTGTTTTTGAAGCGCCTTACTAATCTTGTGCGTCTGATGGTTTCTGGACTATGCTTACAGAGTATGGTGGTTTCAGATTGAAAGTTATCAGTGGGTTCACCTTGTCTTGACATATTTGGTCTTGAGTTTGAGTGGGAAGCTAAATGTAGCATCTCAACTTTTTATGAAGGTAACAGGACGCTAGCGCTCTGAATGCTTGGTCATGTGCACTTCTTGCTAGATCTGAGAGAAGCTTCCCTCGCCTTTAGCATGAGCACAAAGACCACAATGGCAGTACCGTCGTTCATCAAACTCTCGCCACTCACCAACCTGGTTTCTTCACAAAGTCTCGAATGGCCAAGGCACAGAACTGCCGGAGTCATCCGGAGTCTTTCTGTCTTTCTGAACAGCGAAACACAAACACTCTGAAAGCTGGAAAGCAAACAATCTGACCGTTGAAGCGCCAAGGGCTGAGCTTTGTACAGGCCGCTTGGCTCGACGCTTTTCACTTGTCACGCTTCTCATGAAGACTCAGCAGAAGACCTTTCTGCTCCATTCCAGGCATTGAAGTATTTGTACCAACAAATGCGAGCCGTCCATGCATTCAGCATTTTCAAAGCTGCTCAAATGAAGAAAATAATCAACAGTAGCTCTCCATCAAACATTGGTGAAACAAAGGTGTTTCACCTTGCTTGAATTGACACTGCCGCCCTTATCCTGGAGCACTATTGGATGTCTAGGTCGCGCCTTTGGCGCTCCTTTTGGGAGCCTGCCCCTAAAAGACCAGACTTGCACCAAGCAAGCTTTGCGTCCTGTCATATTTTCGAGGCTTCAAACCAAAAGAATGACATCTGGTCAGAAAGTCCACAATTGACGGCACATCTGGTTTTGCGAAAGGAGTGTGTCTGGAAAATGATAATGTGAAACTCGAAAATCCGAAGCCGCCGTGTCAATTCGTTCTTTGGAAGTACTACCTCGCCTTTTACGACTCCATACTATGGATCCTTAGACAGTAAAACAGCATTCTTGTTTGTGGGGAGCAGCAGTGGCATTGCAAGACCTAAGGCAAAAACACACACACACACACTTACACTTCTATGATCTCCATGCACACACACATACATACATACATACATACATGCGGCCACGTTAGCCTACCTGAAAGAATGGGGCTGGACGACCGAGTCCATTTACCAATGGCATCGCCACGAAACGGCTTTCATGAGAGAAGCCCACATCAACATGCAGGATGACTGGGCAACCATCGAACACACACTACACCAGGAAGCACAACAGCAGAGGACAAGCCGATTTGCCAGCAAGAAAAACTGTCAAGACCTGGTCAGTCTGCATTACCGCCAAGGCGACAAGACCAAGACCTGCCCCTTATGCGGAGTGCCTGCCACGCACAAGCATATCGTTTGGCTGTGCACTTGGCATCACAACCAAGGGCATGCACCACTGGCCATCGAATGGACAGAGCGGCTCCAGGACCCACTCGAAGAACCCCTCTGGGCACACGGGTGGATTTTTAGAGAACCCCAGGACCACCTCCAGGTTGCCCAACCCCTCCAAGGACATGGTTGCTGGAGCACTCTTGAACCACTGCCCCTGCAGCCCTGGCAAGGACTTTCGGTGACTTTGGATGCCACACCGTCCTCCTATGACCAGCGATCCCAGGCATGGATCTTCGGGCTCTGTGTCCACACCTACTCCGTGGGCACCCTGTTGAGGAAGGGCACCATCACGGGCATGGCACCAGGTCCCCAGACCAAGGCCCGGGCCCTTTTCCAAGGCCTCCTCACCCTGGCCCAACATGTCCTCACGCCAGTAAATGTGGTGGTGCAACTTGGCTCAGTTTGGGAGGCTTGGACAAACCCCAGAAAGCGGAAAGGTTTTGAAGACCTCACACGAGGTTTTGATGCCCGCCTCTACCACAACATCACCCCGCTCTATATCCACAAGAACACGCGAACACCAGAGGCACCAGGAAATGAACCTCACTTGAGGCGAAGGTAACGGGATGCTGCCTTGGCGGCATATGAGCGAGCCAGCACGCTCTATGACAAACAAGCTGAAGCCTGGCAAACAACACTTGACCAGGACCATTTGCAGATCTACAAACAAGCTGCTGCTCGCTTGGAGAAGATCTTCAAGGATCCTCAGCACTTGAGGCCACGGGGGGGGCGAAAGCTAGCGCTCCAGAATGGGAAAGTGGAGGGCAGCGAGGTAGGAAAAAACACGGCGCTCTTTTTGGAGGCAGGGGTGAAGAGTCCTTTATATGTGGCTCTTTGCCCGGATCCTCCTGCGAGAGAAGAGAGAGAAGAGAGACGGAAAGACGAGAGACAGAGAGGAGAGAGAGAGAGAGGAGAGAGAGATGAGAGAGATGAGAAAGAGATGAGAGAGATGAGAGAGACGAGAGAGACAGTGAGACAGTGAGAGAGTGAGAGTGAGAGTGAGCGAGTGCGGCCGCAAGATACGCAACGCTAACCGCATGCCAAAGAGCGACGACAGGACGGAGTCGAACTTGCGAAGAGGGAGGAGGGAGGGACGGAGGGAAGATGGGAGGAAGACAAGGAGGAGGAGAGGGGAGGTGGGGAGAGGGGAGGTGGGGAGTGGGGAGTGGGGAGGGGGGTGGGGGGGGGGGGGGGGGGGTCTTCGACCTGAAAAATCAGGGGTTAGGATTTGCACCCAGTCGAAAGAAACCTTGCTATCGCAAGAGTAACTCCAGCTAGCTTCGCTAGCTTTCGTGATTACATACATGAGAAACCAATCAGGCGAGCCGGGCACAATACCAAACAATACAAAAAGAGGCTCATCAACCAATGTAAGCTCCCATGGCAGCCCAACAAGCACCAGTGGACCCCTCACCGGAGCGGCTACCAATGTCACACTTGCCACACCCGAGTACACCAAGGCCTCACAGTCGAACTCCTTGAATGGCATCTTCAAGAAGACTGTGACCTTCTGGCGCATGAGGCCCCAGAGCCTGACCTACGCCCCAACAAGGCAGTTGGACAGAAACTCACCCGGGCCAGTACCATCAAGCAATTGCTGGCTGTCCAGCAGCAACACCCTCAGGCGGCTGATGAGCACACATACCAGGAGACTACTGGTTACCTCAAGTGCACAAAATGTAGCCTGTCCATCCACAAAAGGATTAACGAAGACAGCTTCCAGGCCTTCCTCCACAGCCGCTGCATTGATGAGAGCTACACCAAAACCCGCGAAGGTCACCACACACATGGTTTGTGGCAAAAAGGCAAGGGCATCAAGTGCCTGAACTGTGGCACCCAAAGTCATCTGGATTCTGAAGACCGGGTGATCATGACGAAGGCCCTCAAGAAACCTTGTCAGGGCAATACCCAGAAGTCACCCACCCTGCCGCAACTGTTTGGCACTCAGAGCCAGCAAAGTCAGGCAGACAGCCAGGCACCACAAGCCACCAGCACCGGCCAGAGAACCCAGCCACCACAACGGCAGGCAGCAGAGACCCAGGGTGCACAAGGGCTCAAGTCACCTCCTGCGCCCAAAAAGCTCCGGTTCTCACCAACGGCCACGAGCTCACACGAGCAGGGCGAAGAAGAACAACGCACCGAAGACCCCTTCTTCGAAGTCGACTACTTCTGAGCCCGAGGAAGAACTGAGGCCAAAGGCCAACGGCACAAGAGCAACTTGAGAAAAAATACATACATACATACATACATACATACATACATACCACAGTGTCCTGTCATATTGGCATATTGGCACCAGACCACAGTGTCCTGTCAGGTAATGTCCTGGATTATGGGCTGTTGCATGATCAGCTGGCCAGCACCACTGCTTTGACCACTGACTGGGCCGTCCCTTGGCGACCACATGCATTGCTCACCTTGACCTTTGACATTGAGGCAGCCACTCGTGAGTACCGCCAGATCCAGCATTTCCCAGCTCTGCCCAAAGTCCCAGACATCGACTTTAGACCATGGACAACGTACCAAAGCCAGGCTCACGAACTTTGTCTGTACGACAATCCAACCAATGAAGCAGCACAACAGTGGGCAGACTGGATCTCCAAAACAGAGCAATACGTTTTGCAAGAGCACCCTTGGGCTGCACAAGGACGTGGAGCAAACCTCAGGGCAGTCACCAAACCACTGCTGCCCATCGGCCCTACCAGAACCTGGCGCAAAGGCCGCCCAGCATACTGGGAACAGCTTCGTGCCAGATTCCACCTCACGATCAAACACCCGGCTGAGGCCCAACACGGACCAGTACGAGGTTTCATGAAGATGGTAAAGGATGTGCAGAAGCATTGGCAAGGGCCACCAACATGGGGTCAGTTTCTTGACACCACTTACCACTGGCACAAATACAGAGATCCCCATGCAGCTGATCTCATGGAACAGACGATGACACATCAGCACAAGGAAGCCCAACAACAGGCCAATGATGAAAGTATGCTCCAGTACCAGGGAATGGCTCCTCACCGGCCAACAGAAAGGCCTCAAAGGCCTTTTTCGAGGACTCAAGACAAGTGAAATGGCCTGGCTCAGGCCGTACAGGCAGATTCCTATGCATGAGCGGATGAGCCAACGACTGCAGGATTGGGGAGACCTCTGGGGAGTGAGACCTGACAACGATCCACACCCACGCCACACCCTCAAACCCGAAGCTCAAGCCCAGGCTGCGGCCCTGGAACCACTCACAGTGGGACAGTTGAGCCGGGTCCTCAAGGGCCTCCCAGATAAAGCCAGTGCCCCTGATGCAGTCTCCACCCAGCTGCTTAAAGCAGCACCACCACTTGCCCTAGCACCACTGCTCCAACTGTTCCGCACATGGAGGAACAGGCACAGCTTCCCACCCAGATGCAAATGCACATGGTGGTCATGCTGCCAAAGAATGCCACAATCGAACGTCCCATCACCTTGACCTCCACTTTGTGGAGAACATGGTGCCGCCTCAGAAAGCCTGTGCTCGACCAGTGGCAACGAACTCTGCCCATGGCTATGGACCATGACAAAGCTCGTCCAGGCGCCAATGTACTCTTTGTGGCCTTAGAAAGACTCCTCAGACAAGAAGTCCACCGAGCGCGTGGCCGTCATGGCATCACCGTGCTAATGGACATGTCAACTTTCTATGACACAATTCCGCTGGAAAAGTTACAGCAGGAGGCCATCAAGCTGAACTATCCACCACTGCATTTAGAACTGGCGATGCAGCTGTATACCGGCCCCAAGGCAATCAGTGCCGAGCAAGAATTCACCCCATTCTTTCGAGTTGATCGTGGAATACCAGCAGGATGCCCGCAAGCGCCATTGCTTGCTAAGGCTGTACTTGCCCCAGCCTTGGTCCCATGGAGGGAGGAGCACCCAAACATTCACCTCACCAGCTGGGTCGATGACATTGGCTACGATACCCATGGCCGCAGTCCACTCCAAGTAGCCACAAGAGCGGCATACCGTGACTTACACACCAGACTCCAGCAACTTGGGCTACGGGTCAATGCCAAGAAGACTGCCTTTCTGGCCACTGACAAAGCCACGGACCGGGAGCTCAAAGCTCTGCTCCAGCCACACGAACCACAAGTGGTCACGGTGATGCGGGACCTCGGGATTGATCACCAAGCAGCCCGACGTCGTCGAATCCCTGTGCTCAAACAAAGGTTTGCAAAAGCACATCCTCATTTGTCCTCTTGTGTGTGCTCTGTCCACAGGTTGTGCAACGGAGATACCCTTTGGTTTCTTCAAGGGTATGGGCACTGGCTGGCTGCTGTTGGGCCTGTTTCTCAAGCAAACTGGCAACAACCTGAGCCCTGGTGGGTTTGCGG